CAAATGGTGTCTGCGTGCGGGTGGAGGGACTAAACAGCACAAGTGCCCCTTTCTGTCCTTCAATATTTATTCGAGTGCTTCCTTTAAAATTGCAATAGTTTTTGAAGCAACTCTTGTCGTTTTGCGTTGAGTTTCGTCATCGAAACCGTTTTTACGAAGTTGTCTCTTCAGAAAAGAACTGACAATCGGAATCGGAATGCGTGGTCGTTCAGGATGGCGTCGTTCTGGTGGAGGAAACGGTGGTGGAGGTGTCGGTGGTCCTATGTTTCAAACGGGACCCCCAGGACCTTACGGCGCACCTGTACCTCCGCATCCAGGCCCAGTCTATGCATGTTGGCCGGCCCCGTTCGACCTAACTTTGTGTGAGGCCACTTTTCCGAGGGCCAAGGAAGTGGAGGACTCTGATCTTGCTCAGGTATTTGTTTGTTCGCTTACTCTTAGTTCAGTGCTCGATTCGTTTCAATCAAATTTTGTCGTTTTTTATTTATATGATCATCACATCATTCTCATTCTTCACAAAACACTTGCAGTGTTGATTTTTGAAGTACATTCCAATGAAATTCTCTGCTCAGAAAGCTGATTTACTTTGCTCCGTGAATGTGCTCTGTATTATTGTGACCTAAACCTCTTGAAATGCATTCATCCTCAACCATTTTTACTTATAAGTCAGCTCAAAGGTACAATGTGAACATGCCGTTTCCAATATGCTGTCGAGAAATTATTTCATGTGTGCCATTAGTTGATCGTTGAATACTGATCGAAATAATTCCAGGCAATCAATAAACGACATCAGGAAATTATGCCCACTAGTGCTGAGCAGTCGGCCGTCGTTAGCTTGGTGAACAAAGTGAAAGGTGCGCTCCAGAAGATTGCATCGAATCCGGATCAGTCTGCCTCAATGGTGAGCCTTTTTTAAATTTTTCTCTTCATCTACTTCATATAAATATTTTTGATTAGCCGTTACCATAAACATTTCATGATGTATTTTACGAAAAAAAACTTGATAAAGATTAGCAGCACAAGGTTTTCGTATGAAACGCGGTCGTCACGAAGAGTTGCTGGTAATGATATTGCGCAGAATTATGTCACTGATTATGTTATTATGTTTTAATGCAAATCACTTGTGTTCGGTATGATTATGAGGCATTTCTCACCGAATATTGAATATGACTGGTATCGAACGAACTTGTTTAGGTACTGGAAGAATTTCGTGAAGTGGGATCATTCCGTAAGGAAACAATGCTTGCTGGTCACAACGTTGCCGATATTGTCGTTGTTTTCAGATCACTGCCAACTTGTGAGTTCGTTCAACTCCTCTGTTTCTCCAGTTCATCAATTTGATTTGATTGATATCCTTACAGTTTTTTGTTTCATTTTTCTGTAATATTCCACCACCTTAGCTCATAAATGCGATTTGTTTGACTCAAGTTTCCGAAACTTAAGTTCTCGCGCTTGAGGGATTATTTGTAAAGAATTAAAATTCTCGAGTGATTCTAATTGTTTTCATATAGTGTTGCTGATCAAT